TATAATCACAACACTACGTATCAACGTATTTTACCATTGATTATTTACTATAAAAAAAATATTCCAATACAATTTGAATGAAGGTTTCATCAGTTATCTTATTATATTTTTTATAAATTGATAATAAAAACAAAACAAACATAACACATACATTATGATAGCAGAATAAAAAAATAAATACACAAGTAAAAATATAATTATAAAATGTTATTGCGAATTTTATTCCGAATTTCCTTCTTCGTCACTGGACTCCCCCCAATCGCTGTCATCAGGTAACAAAGTCAATATGATTGGCTCCAACATACTGTCTCTCATAATTTCTTTTTCGTTGTCTTCATCTTGCAATGTCTCTGCATGTCTCACGCACTTCTCCCAATCATGTTGAGTTACCGAATCCAATGCTTCGTGAGTCAACTTTTCTATATCGACCATTTTGCATGTTTTATTTTTTGTCGCCACTTGATTTTTTACCTGGGCCCATATCAGCTCAATTGGATTGTATTGGCAATGGTACGGTGGAAGTCGAATAACTTCGTGGCCCATTTCCAATGCCAATACATCCAATTCATATTTTTTTTCAAGTGGTATTAACGCTTTAACTTTCTGTCTAAGTTCAGCTAAATTTTCTAATGGTGAAAAATCGACATTTTTTTTGGTCAACCAAGCCTGCACATCTGCTTTTCGCGTATTACTTTTGGGAAAGTTATCGATGAGGGTTGAATGATAAGATGCATTATCCATAACTATCACGGACGGTTCTTCAAGGCTGTTCAGCATTTGGGTGAACCAAGATTTGAATACTTCAGAATTCATTTGGCTGTGGTAATCCGTAGAATTGCCAGTATTACTGCGGAAAACTAATTTTGAATTCTGAATGAACCCATATTTGGCACATCCTGCATGAACAACAATAAGGCGTCCACCTTTTCCAATAGGGATTTTCGGACCCACCATACTATCATGTTGCCATGCAATGGTCCGCGAATGATTTTGATTGACCCAGGTTTCATCAAGATATACAATTGGTCGTGTATCTTTATTTTGGCGGATTGTACAAATTTGTCTCAAAAATTTACATCTAAGCGCAACAATATCGTTACGCTCCATCAAAAATTTACGACCATCGCTACATTTTTTATAAGAAAATTTTAAATTCCTAAGGAGTCTTTGAATTGAACTTAAACTTCCCGAGTAATTAATTTTGCTCTTGACGGCATTAAGTATTAATTCTGATGTAGGATACTCACTTCTGTCGTAAAATTCATGAACTGTCCTCCTAACAACATCACTGTTGAAATCATCCAACTCTGAGACATATTTTGCCCGCTTGTATGATTTACGTGGAGATGAAAAAGAAGGGCCCGTCTCAGGTAATTGATCATTTTTCTTCACTTCGGAGCAAATACGTTGAATGGAGCGTTTCGATACTCCGCAAGCCTCGGCAGTAATGTCTTGCGTTTTTATAAAAAATTTGGCGTCAATTTCTTCTGATTCCGATAGTTTTTTAAAAAATAAATATACACTATAAACTATTTTTTTACTTTGGCTATGTAGATCTTTATCTTTAAATGACATTTTAATGTTAAATAAAAATAATAAATATACAAAACACTAGGTTTTTAAAAAAACAAATATATTTGTAACGTATTACTACGACAGCAAACCGACGTGTGCAAAGCAACAGTGAATATACTATAATGCAAAGAAAACATGCCACAAGCAGATACGAATACAATTAAACATACCATACATGTCCCACCATCCATAATAACCATCTGTCCCTCTATAGGGTCTCTAACAGGTTTTAAAACATATAAAGAAGGAATGTGGTCTATAGGGATGTCTAATGTTTGAAAATGAACAATAGCGCCGTTAATATTCGTGCTGCGCCGCCGCCGTACCGAATCGCAACAATAGAATGAGAACCACTGTCTACGCGGTGGGTGAGGTTCGGGGTACTGCGGCGGCCACCCGCCACATTTCGTGACGCGGACTATAGTAAGACATCAGCTTTATTGCACAGAACAATCAAGATTTTCAAGGAAGAATTTGGAGTGTATCGATACGTATCGAGGCAATTTTGAGCGTTCAAGAAGTTACACGTGCAGTATACTAGCGATACGTACCGACCCGTATCGGACTCGGACTTCGATATGAGGTGGTACGTATCGATACGTATCGAATTTTTCTTCTTGAAAATCTTGAATCATTATTGTTTTATTCTGCAGGACTGTGGTGGTATTCACGGCTGTAAGTAGACCTGTCAATTTACAATTTATCTGTACCTATAGACTGTACCTTGAGGCTTATATTATATACAATTGTATATTTGTATATGAGTATGATCTAAGCAAGGATGGAAATTATTTAAAAAATATTAAATTCCTACTGTTTATGCTGCATTATTCATTATTATGAATCTTTGACTAGTTTAACTTAGAAGTTCCTAGTCACTATAATTGATGTAGTATGTAGATAGGCGCAAGTCGCGCAACCATTGATAGCTTGACTGATTCAAATTTCAACCCTCGACAAACAATGAAGATTTTGAAGGGAAAATGTAAACTGGGCCCGTGATAATACCTTTAAGGGGGACGAGGTGACCGAGTGGTCTGACGCGTCCGCTGCGACGCAGCCGATCGCGGTTCGATCCTCGGCCACCGGGCGGCATTTTTCTCCGGACAAGTCGCGGTGACCGGAGAACAAGTGCCGCCATCCCCCAACCGGGCATGGCAGAAACCTACGGGTGCCCAATAGAAATTCTGCCAAAACAAAAACACACACGTGTTCCCCCCCCTACAGTACCACACAACCTACAGCTAATGGCCTCAGTTGCCGAAGCTTAAATCAAAAAAAAAAAAAATACCTTTTATGTTGTAAAACTGGCACGATAATTGCAGGTAGGTAATGAAAAAGTGATATTCGATTGTAAACACGCCCAATAATTTTCACCGATTAAATATTATAAGCACCTCATGATTTTTATTTATTTTTTATTTTTACAAGAAATATTTAATAGACAATCTATACATTTTAGCACAATAAGTAATAAGTATATGTATATGTGAAATGAGAAAAAAAACATAATGAGGTTGCGTGAATTAGGAGCCACCCATTAGTGGCACTTAATTTGGAAGTTGCGTTGATATAGAATTAAGTTAATTTATCTCTACACCATTTTCTCTTAAGTCTACGACGGGGATTTCCAAAGTGTTGGGATATGTAATCCTTTTATTAGAGCCATTAGAGGATTTCGTGGTTTTCTAATTTAGTATAAAAACGTTTATAGAAAACAGCAGCTGCTTCTGACTTCTTCTATTGTTTTTATACCTAGGTCTGTACGTCCTAATTAAATCTGAAAAGTGAAAATAATAAAATATATTATACTAGCAGCTAATCCCGTACACTTTGTTGCCCGTTGAACTTGACCCTGCTTGATGAGTACTTTATAGTTTATAAAAAAATGTTTTATTCTTATTTTGATTGGGGACAAGCCGATGAGTGGCAATAAGTGCAACTCAGCAAGTTTGATAGGCAATGAGCGAAAATTAAATTGTATGCATGCTTAAACCTGATCTGCAGGATGAACCACTGCAGGCAACCGATGAACAAAAAAAAAAATATCAATTTCTACTAAATATATTTATATTTCTCCTCTAACCAATAGCAAGTAGCAACCGTGTATACACAAATATTTTCTTCTTAAATCTTAAAATCCCTGTTTGAGCAACTCTCCGAGTTGGACCTACCGGGTCCAATTGTGAATCTAAACCATCCAGGGCGTCACCTGAACGCATACAAAAAAATTCATTCAAATCAGTTCAGTCATTTAGGAGGAGTTCAGTAACATACACACGTACAGTAGAACTGTATGTATAAAGAAATATAGATTAACATAATTGAATTCTACTGTAACGAATTTGCATACCTACCTATACCTACTCATATATACTTTTTAATAATATGAAAATGAAAACAAAACGAAATAATTTGTCGAGGAAAATGAGGATCATCTCCTAATGACCTAATGCCTAATGGTGTCCTTTGGGATAATGCTAAAATATAATAAATGTAAAATACTATAAGGTAGTCCGATAGGTTTTAATTAGATATGAAAAGTTTTGGCTATATTTCCCATGTTATTAAGCAATCTCTTTTCTATGATGGCATATTATTATTTTTCTTCGGGTCGAGTTGACACTTCAATCATTCTAGGCCATAATTGGGATAAATTTTCGATAGGGGTTTAAAACTAAATCATATATTTTCATAAGCGATAAAAAAATAATTTTAAGTAAAAATGTATTTAATATTATAATATAGTAATACATTTAAATTAAAAAAGGTTTTTTTATGCATTAAACATGTAATAAACTTGGTTTAATTTATACTTGACCCCCTTCCCTTGCCATTTTATGGTCACGATGGCTACGCCACTGGTAATAAATTTCTAAAATTTAAAACTAAATATTTGTATACTTTATAGTATGAAATTTAGGAGTCTTTTTTTGTTCTTTTGTGAAATGTTCCTTTACATCGTCTGGATATTGATTTCAATTCGTATATGTACACTCAAAAGAGCTGGTACGTTATATGTATTTGGTCTGATGAGTATCATATATAGCACGGATAAAATAAGTTCTGTTTATCCGCGGTAAATAGTTTTTTAATCTTTTCTAGATAAAAAATATGAGTTCTGGTGTTGAAATCGAAACTAGTAATGTAGCCAATGGTTAAAAAATAATTTGGGAGTAATTATTCAAAATCAAAATTACATTTTATGTGTAGAAGTAATAGTTATTACAATACAAACATAATACTGTTATCATGTCATTAGGGAAACATGGTAAATTACTATACATAATTAATTTAGTTTTATAAATTAAATTCACTAACTATATCAACCTACTTCAAATACTGCCAAGCAATCATTTTCAATTGATAAAAACAGGCTGAGTTTACAATAAACCTTTTGAAGATATTTTTCGCGGGTCGAGTTTACAATCGCCCATTTTGGAATCCCTGAGTTATCTTATCAAATATTGCTAACAGACTGTAAATGATATCTCTTATCTTCATGCTTTGACAATACAAATAATATGTAAGTATTAGAATATTTAAATCTTACGATTTGTTTAATTAATAAATTCAATTCTCATTTCTCATTTAGACTGTTATACATTTACAAAGTCCAACTACGTTTAAACTTGAATATTGTTTATAAAAATAAATGCACGTACGTCAAAACGTAGTACTAGTGGCATTTTAATAAAATAAATATAAGCCGGTACCAACTACAGGTAACAGAGAAGTTTACATCGTATTAAATTTTCATTCCTTTATATGCATTCCTATTGTAGCTGAAATTTTTAGTATAGATTTTTAGAAAAAATGGAAAAGGGACTGAACATTACTACCGAATTTACAAGTGGACTTCAAATTCTATTTAACAATGTAAAGAAACACAAAGTAGTGCTGCCTGAAACAGAAAAGCCTTGGACACTAGGATTGCTTCTGTTCTGGATTAAAGACAACATATTGGTCGACAAAGACAAATGCGATTTGTTTATGAAGGGCAATACTGTGAGGCCAGGCATCATTGTAGCTGTTAATGACCAAGACTGGGAACTCTTGGGCGATTTAAAATATCAAATTAAGGACAATGACAATATTACATTTATATCTACGTTACACGGTGGTTAATAATTAAAACGCCAGTTATTTTATCTATTGTTTATTTAATATTAATGAAACCTACAACACAATTTCTCACACAATAGTATGCATCTTTATTCATCTATAATAGTCTGGAAGAACATTAAATTACATAAATAAGAAAAACAATTATGTTTAATCTGAAAACTTAGTATTGGGATTACTTCTTTAATTTGATTAGTTCATTTTCAAATGAATCAGTGATTTGTGAATCCTTAAATTTGAATAGAATCGTTTGCGGTTTGGTACTTTTTGTAGGATCGAGAACACATGTTAATTGAACATTTTTAGCGTTGCGTTTAGTAAAATTAACAGATTCGTTCAGTAACGTATTTGCCATAATAGTTCCCAAGGCACTATCATTCCTCATAATTAGTTGTATTTTTTTATCATCAACTGGTTTTAAATACAATTGACCAACCCCAAGTTCTTCATATTTACCATTTTTAAAACAAAATAGTTTACTTTTAGACTCAAAAATTGCATCATTCTCTTTAATAGGTGTAAAATTCACAACTGGAGGTTGATCTTCATCTTCATCTACTGGCTTTTGGGGTTCCTGAGAAGTCTTCAAATTTTCAGAGGAAAATGTCAAGGTAGGCGATTTTGATCCAAAACTAAAGAATGGCTTAGAATTATTTTGTTCTGTAGATTTAAATGAAAAGGATGGTAGGGTACTTCCAAAATTAAATGGAGGCTTTGTGTTTAATGTTTTGCAAATAACAGGTTTATCTTTACCTGAGGGAGATGTTTTTTTATCATTAGAATTAAATGGCAATGTTTTTTCATCACTAAATTTAAAGTCAGGAGACTTGCTAGAAAAAGAAGTTGACGATGACTGATTGTTAAATTTGAAATCGCCCAACTTGAATCCATTAGTCACTGGTAGTGTATTCGTTGATTCTTCTGAAGACAATGGTGGCAATTTTGTTTCTACATTTTTGTCTTCTGTATGTTCTGTGACCGTTTTATCAAGTTTGAAAATGTTTGTACTTGATTCTTTGGCATTAGTGTCTTCGCTTTTATTACCAAAACTAAACAATTGTTCATTGCTAGAAATATTTCCAATTGGATTTATAAAACTAGTTTCACTTCTCTGGACATTAACAGAATTATTTTTTACTTCATCAGAGTTCTTTGTACGCATAGTTTTATTTTCCATTACCGATATTTGAGGAGATCCTGAAATTTTTTATAAAAAACTTGAATTAGAATATTTTAAATAAATAAATATCATTTAAAAATTAAAATTAAAGAGAATATTAAAACTCTATGAGAGATGATCCCTGACCTCTCAAAATAATAGTAGGTATTAATTAAAATTGTTTTCTACACTACAGACATTGATAAATAGTCAGCGAGTATAAATTTCTAAACATGAAACATCTACATAATCAGTGTCTAATAGAAATTTGACTTGTAGAAGCCAGTGAGATTTTACAAAAAAAGTAAATACAAACAGGAGTATAATACCCTAGTCCTTAGGTTATAACCAGTAGTTATTTACTTATGTTATATTTTTTAACTTAATTCAATAAGTTATTATTCTATTAGGTATTGAAATAGTTAAAAATATCTTAAGAAATAATCAAATTTCAACATGGCTATACAATTTTCAATAGATACAACATAAAGAAGAGCTATAGTCATATAAATAACTAAAAACTTCAAAGGATATGAGTGTATTCCTTTTGAGAGCTGTTAAATCAATTAAATGCCAGAATTTATTGGCTAAGCGTACATTTAAACTGAACATCATAGTTTACCTACTTATACAAAATTGTATTTTATTCTACATTAAATATTATGTAAGCATTCATTATACTAATATCTATCTAAAAATTAATTCATTTTACCAACATTCTAAGAAAAAAATAGTACATATCCATAGGTACAATATACATTTTTGTTAAATCAAAAAAATATTCTATACATTTATACTCTATCACAGGAGAGAACATTACCGTGATTCGACCTGAGCGCATCCAATCTAGCACATCCCCTACTCAACAACAATGGTTCATTAATGTTCAGTATGTTCAACGCTTTAATATATATGAATATATAATGAATACAGTCAAGGCATTAAGTGGGGGAAATTTGGGCCTTGGACCAGTCGGTACCATCAGTCTGAAATTCTGTATGTGCAAAAACGTTATGTTCTCTCCTGGGCCCTGGCATAGAGTTAGAAATGTTTTGATATACAATTTAAATGATCATAATTGTTACCCTAACCTTAAACTCAAAATGTAAATACAGTAAGCTCTTGTTATGTTGAAAACTCAAGGAAAACAGAAAAAAAGGAACTCGTCCAATATGATATCTACCGTCGACTATAGTTGATTTTTATCTTTTTGTAAGCACCTCAGGTTTATTAAACCAAACAAGTTCTACGATATTGCACAAATTTAAACCACTGTTACACTCACCATTTGTATCCATATACGTAAAATGGTTTTTGTTTTTGCATATGGAGTCAAATGTTTGGCACCCTTTTTCTTTTACATGGATTATAAATTGTTTTAAAAATATTACCTTCCGAATCATGTTTTCGACTATTTTTCAACTAACTTTTTTTAACTCACCACCACAAATTGTTTGGTTTTTAATTTTTGTACATGTTGGGTCAATTGGTAATAAATCGAGTAAATTAAAAAATGTTTGCACATCTCTTCTTCATTGTGAATTATGTGTCAATACAAATAACTCATAGTTGACAAACTCATAATACATAATACGTAATACGATATGACTCACAAACACACACTTAACAGGTTAAATTAGTAACCTACTATATTAAGGTAGATAGCATATTGGACGAGTACCGAAAAGTTCAAACCTCAATTCAGTTGAAATAACATACAATTTGGGATACTGATGTTTAATATAATGAGAATCTACTGTATATAAATATGCAAACCTTTAGTAGAAGCTGAGGTAGAGGCCATTGAAGTATCAGGAGTGTTTGTTTTAAAACTTGTAAGATCGACAAATTTGTTTATTTGTTTTTCATAGTCTTTCAATGATGGAGTTAGCACACAATAAGGATTTTTCTGCACAGCATTTGTAATAAATTTGACAAATGCCTCATTAAGTTTCATCACCTTAACATGATTAACAATTGGCGGAGTCAAACTTTTGGAACTGTTACTTTCTGAAAATGTTAAGCTACTAGATGTGGTCAACGAATTAATTGTTGATGCAGATGGATGATTTCCACTCTCACTGGGTGTGTCATTTGATTTTGACAAAAAGGAAAAAGCTTGTTTAGAATTCAAATTACTGGATAAACTGTTGAATCCAGAAAATCCAGAAAATATTGGTTTCAGTTCACCAGACTCATCTCTTTGTAATGTTCTTTTAGCTCTTTTCAGAACTCTGTTTTTTAATACAGAATCGTCTGCTACTTTAAATACTCCTGGGTCTACTTTTTCTTCTTCTTCGTCCCAATTGTCTTTGGTTAGTTCATTACCTGCTCTGCGTTTACTCATAATGACAACCTTTAAAACAAAAATATCAGTTGTAATAATATATATAACTTAATAATAAAAAAAAAACAATGATTTTCAACTTTTCATATGAAATTTTGATAATTTCATCATCACCTATAATTATGTTTGTATTTGTATAGTATGAAGTTCTGATACAGCTCTCTAATATCATATTGACACAACAAAACTAGTAACTTAAATTTTAAGAAATAATAACAAACAATTATGTATATAGGTAATCATTTTGGTAGACCGCAAAAAATTGGTATTGGAGTTTAATGGCTAAGAAAATTCATATTATTGGCATAAAATCTGAAGCAAAAACTTTGAATCGGAATGACTAACTAATTATTGTACTCATATTATTGAAAAGATTGTCATATTAACAAAATCGCGTCCGTCTATATCAAATAAATAAATATAAAATTACATGCAATTTACAATACTTAAAAGATCATAATTTAATATTGGCTAATATTTGTAGTAGTAGTTGTGAGGTTCACAGCTGTTTCAGGTTGTGCACAAAAATGTATAAGATTCCATTTAAGATGGTAAAAAATTAAAAAATATTGATTTTGTTATAAGTACATATCCAAAATAATGTACTTACTTATTTAAATTAAATTATTTAAGGCTTTTTACCATGGTAAAATAAAAATAAATTAGAAAAAATAACTTGTTATGCATGAAACATACACACAAAATCTTAAGGTAATTATAATTGATAATTTGAATGGTACAACTACTACACAAATAAAATTAATCGAAAGTTAAATTTTTAAATGTGGTGCGTTATTGTTTTGAGGATTGAACTGACATTGCTTGTTCGATAAAAACTGGTCCTATGCATACATTAAAATATGTGCTCCAAACAACACAACTAAGCGATGTGTCGATGCAAGTAGATAATGTTTATACGGCTACTCGTAGCACAGAAAATGTGCTCTGCAAATTATTTAATGGTTAATAGATATACTTCTCAACGCAAAAAACATTTTTTAATTAATGTATATATATTTTTGTTATTACAGACCATGTGCATAATACCCAAATATTAATTTACCTAATTATGATAAATTGATAACATTTCTCAAATAAAACATGTAAAGCATAGTATGGGAATTAAATGGAAAAATATCTCAGAAATATTCCGTCCGAAGTACTTAAACTATGATACTACATGCATAATACATAAATAAACTAATTTATTGCTGAATCTTACCTTTTAGTTGTTGTCAAATGGTAGTCCCGATTCACTGGATTCGCTTAAACGGTTTGAATTACAGTTAACACAAATCTTATCCACACTTCACAGTAAGATTGAATTCCGCAATACCTACACTCAGTACACTTAATGCTGAATAATAACCGTTAATTTGTGATTGTCGATAATAGAACGCAACTAGCAAATGGTAGTTTCAATAACTACGAATGTCATACAGCTAACCTGTATACACCATACACGAAGTAACCAAACACGATCAACAATTATATCCTCTCCAGTCTCCCCAAGATGAAGTCTCAACTCTCCTGTAGTCTCCAGAGATCAGTCGCCTGTCACCACTCCTCAGAGAATAAATAAAATCTGATAAGACAATATGGACTACATAGCTGCAGGCTGCTCCGGGTTCTGGACGGCAGCAGGCGGATTAGGCGCGCAATGCGAGTAGGTAACCCTCCGCCGAATTATCATTTTATTGAATAACGAATACCGACTAGTTACGACTTAAGGTTAGTGGTTATTGGTTAATGGCCAGCCAGTGTAGCCCTTTTAAAAATATCCGAGGTTGGTAGTTACCACGGTTATCCAACTACCGTGCTAGTTGCCATCAAAATGCGAATGGATCTTCGCAGGAAAAAATTTTTTGTGTCCGTATATAATATTGCCTACATTTAGCCCCTTTTTTGCGGTTTTCAAAATGTGATAACATTGATAAACCGATAACATAATTTTCATTATAAATTATAAATTATAATATTATATTTTATTATATTAATTATAATTAAAATAGTTAAATGTAGTTAATAAGTTATTAAAAAACACAATATTGTAATTTAAAATTAAAAAATACACAATTCATTGAGAATACAGTATAAATGTACAACCTATTTACGTAGAACATTATTTTAAATTTTCAATCTTTAGCTATAAAAGTTAAATTATATAATAAAATTTTTAATTTGATAAATATTTTCAAAATTCGAACTATACCCAGAAAGCAATTGTGTAATGATATTATTATTATTACAGTACACAAATATTGTTATAAAAATAATGTTATTAAAATAACATAACTATTCAACTAACATAATATTATTTTATAGATATTATAATAAAATTATTTTTTATGTATGGTAATAATAATATTATTTAACAAATATAATAATCAAGCTATTATAATAAAGAAATTATATTTTTATAATTATTATGAATCTTGAACATAATTTAATACCCTTTGAATAGAAATCAGTATAGATGGTAGTATATAGTATATTAGTATCTATACTTACAAACGAATCAAAACCTATGCAAACTGAAGATATAAATACAATTAACATAAAAAAAAATATTGAAAAACAACCTCGTTTATTTACTAAAAATAAAAAAAAATAAACTTGAATTTCATCAATTGTCGTCGAGTGAAGGTAATATAATAAGAAAATCCTTACTAAATAATACAAGAGTTTTAAATGTTCATTTATATGACGATCATTCTTATAGCGCTAAAAGAAAATGAATTCATTAATATATTGTTGAATTGTATCTTTTAAATGACGATCGTAAGTGAATAAAGAATATTGTGTTTTTTTTCAAATTGTGTATTATGAAATGTATTAACTATTAATGTATTTAACTATTTTAATTATAATTTATAATGAAAATTATGTTATCGGTTTATCAATGTTATCACATTTTGAAAACCGCAAAAAAGGGGCTAAATGTATGCAATATTATATACGGACACAAAAAATTTTTTCCTGCGAAGATCCATTCGT